TAATAACAATCTCTAAAATTAAATATTAAAATTAAATTTGGCCTTCGTGTAAATTTCGATAATCGAAACGCTCGAATTTGTAGATCGATCGCGCACTGTGTGTTTAAGCGTCGCTCATGTCTTTTGCATAATGTGATTAAACTTTTTCATGTTTTATATAAAATTCGATACTAATTGACAAAAGTTGTATTGTATTCTTGTTAATAAAGTTCAAAAGTGTACTTACCCGATCTTGGATAAGACAAGACCCAAGTATCATCGGGCCTAGCTTTAAAATTATAATATCCTTCGCCTTCCTCCGTGTATTTGTACGGAAAACACCATTTCTTCGGACCTACGAGAACCCAGCCTGTTCTCTCACCCTTAAACAATTCCAGGTTCTTTTTTGTCGTTTCTTCGTCCAACAATTCAAACTTCGGTGGTGCAAGCTCCATCCTCGGATGTCTTTCTTCCAAAGTACGATGCTGTTAACAACATTTTACAGTTTGTACGTGCCTCTGCATTTCACTTTATCATTCATTGTTTAAATATCTATATGATCGTATGGCTTATTGGTCTCGAAATAGAAATATCTCGTATAAAATTGCTCACATTATCACTTTCTTCGTTTCTTTCTACTGAAGAAACTAAAAATTCATGTAATTCGATTGCAAAGACAAAAGAAACGTTGATAAGATGATATAATCTGTGAATATCTGATAATATATTCCGGATTCCTCTGAGCGAATTAAAACGTCACGTGTACTGAAACTATATATATGGATTATTACGCGACGGTGTACAACGTAAAACTGAAATAAATATCGCTCTTCCAACGAAGATAAACGAAAGAATCTAGCGGCAATCCAGGTTAACAGACTTTCACTCCACTAAGTCGTCCTCTTTTCTTTTCACTCTGTTGCGTTGATAAGAAGCCTGCCGAAGAGTCGATGTTAGTTTCGTGATTAATAAATTACTGTAAATTACCCAGGGGAATTAAATACTCGAGCGATTGGAATAGCAATTTCTTTATTTTTTTATATTGCAGTCGATTCAAGAAATGTTTTGTGTCCTTTTAATTAAAAAGTTTTAAATTGTAAAAAGACATTATCATAATATTAAAAGGAGATACGGGAGAAAGTTGACACCGCGTATTCTCCTACACGAACCAGTAAAACCAGATACAAAATTCTCCTTGCATCTTTTATGCTTCTTTATTACTTTCGTTAGGAACTTTCAAATTGACATATTCTTCTTATCAGTCTTATCTTCTTACTTAGGAATGAATGAAGCGTACGAGTGATCTGTTTCATACCAAAACATAAGTTCGTAAAAGATAAGAGGCTTACATCATAATATAATTCTCTTTGGTCGCGAGACATAGATTTCATCAAGGCTGCATTTAATTGATTTAAGTACAGACAGCGTTTCTGAAATCGTGATACAAAGAGATATTTTCTTTCATAAAACTGAGTCGAAAATATATATAAATTTTATATATATATATGATATTAAATATATATATATATGAGTCATCAGTCGAAGTATACCATCAATAAGATGGTATTAGTTTGATTTCTTCTTCATTAAGAGTTTTTATAAAGACTTTACTCTAGGAGAAAAACAGTAAATTCAATTATTCACTTCACTCAGTATAACAAATTCTTTCATACGCAGCATAATTTCTGTGTTTTGACATTCGGTGTAAAAACCTGTTAAGGACAAAATCTGTCTCGCTTGCTTAATCATAATAATATCGTCCAGGCGTGTGATCATTCTAAAGATCAATACAAAGATAAGTTGTCGAACATTGTAATTTATTACTAAAATATCATAACTGATATTAGTTAAACATGTAAGCTACTGTAGCGATTCATGGCGATCACGTGAACGAAGAAAATATTGTCAAACTGTACTTGACGACTGAAACTGAATTATCTCGGAAATTAAAAAACATTATTCTATTTTCGGGTCAGTTTTATGTGAACCCACTTGTAGGTTGTACCACGATATCACCTTGTATATAATTGTAATTATCACTCGTATAAATTGATTTTTGTACAGTATTCTATTTAAAAATATAGTCAATATCATCCGTTGTAAAATTATCTATAACTAGATCTTAAACTATCGAAATCGATTCGAAATCTTAATCTACTTAAAACGATATAAGAATGATAGTTTAAATATATAAAATGTAAACGCGTACTTCTATCTAATAATTTTCATTAATATTAAAATAATTAAAAATTATCTGATAGCTTCGTATTTGATTGAATTCTTTCATAATTAACTTCGATGACTGTACAGTCATCACAGAAATTATTAATAGCTTTCTGGGGCTAAAATATTCTCAAGTACGATCATATTTTCGTTATGCGGTATCAGTTCAGCGTTCTGCAGACTGGACTTCGCAACGGCGGCTTCGTTGCGAATATTGTCACCGTTCCACTTGTTATCCGATTTCTTTATACAAGAAATATTCAAGTCCAGTGTACAAAGATTTATCGCAGTCCCTTGTTCTGTTTTGACATTGTTTAACAAGTCATTGTCATTTTCACTTTTTAGTTTGGTGTTAGTGGTTGATTCAGAAGCATTATTGAACGATATAGTTCTGTCTCTTTTGAGTAAAAGATTCTTCAGTTCCGGATTCTTTTGGAAGGACTTACAACGCTTCGTATGTATTTTCATATTGTCATGTCGATTGAAAGGCTTATCGCATCCAGGGCAATGAAATCTGTAAATATCAGACTTAACTATAATTAACTGATATACAGGGACTTCCGTTAATATTCGGAAGAAACTACATACAAAAATATCTACCTAATTTTACTGTGAACAGCCATATGAGCAGCTAAATGAGATTGTTGTCCGAAATTCTTGCTACAAACTTTACATTCGTATTTTCTAATGCCTTCGTGCTTCAAGAGATGTTCTTTTAACACTTGGCTGTTCTTATACACGTTCGGGCAAATAGTACACTTATACTTCGCAGCAGCATGCACCTGTTGTAAAAGAATTATTTGTTTTTCATATTTTCCTAAGAAACTCGAATAAATTAGTTTTAAGACGTGACTAACGTTTTGGTGGTTGTTGAGCGCCTTTTTAGATTTGACGCATTTACCACAAACATTGCATACATAATCCTGCGCGTGGACATTTTTGTGATGACTTTCCAACGCTTCCGCGTTAGACAAATAAGCTGAACACAACTTACACATCACGAACTTACTTCTGTTATGTATCGACATATGACTGCGAAGTCTGCCTTTCGAATAAAATTGTTTGCTACAAATTTCGCAGCTAACATCCTGCAATAGATGAGATAACAATGATTAAGTATATTCAATTTGTTTTAAACAGTCAACGTGTCTTACCTTTACTGGTTTATGGATATTACTATGGTAACTTAATATTTGCCTATTTGAACACGTGTAATCGCAAACGTTACATTTATATGGACGGGCGCCTGTGTGACTATTTAGGTGCTCTTTTAAGAGAACACCAGTTACATATCGCTTCTCGCACAAATGGCACACGAACGGTTTAATCTTTAAGTGACTTTTGCGAATGTGGCAACGAACGTTAGTAACAGTGACAGTCGAAAATTTACACGCCTTGCACTGATACGGTTTCATTTGCAAATGTCCCCAAACGTGTACCTGGAAAATGTGTTACGCTAATTAGAGACTGAACTTTGAGAAAAAATTGCTAATACTTACTTGACACTTATCCATTCTAAGATAAAGATTGCCACAAATATTGCAGCGCATGCTTTTTTTATCGACTATCGTTATGTGCCTCTGCACTTCCTCCTCATTGATGACCGACATATTCACCGTATAATAAGTCTCGATAGTCTGCTTCTGTTCGTCGCTAATCAGTTCGGAGAGTTTGCCGAATTTATCTTTTCTCCTAATTTCGCTAGAACTACCTTGACTCGACTTCCGAGATAAAGAATCGTCGGTAAGACTTCCGTCCAAATCACTTTTAATACTTTGGTCTATTATTACCACAGAATCTTCCCGTGTTACTTCTGGATTTAGAATTTCGTTAGATCGCGAACACTTTATAACGGTGACACGATTCTGTTCTTTAAATACTTCTTTATTGTTACGATCAGAAGTTTCTGCTACGGGACTTGTAATTAAGTCGTGTTCCGACGCTAAATCAGTCTTATTGCTCTCAGGTCTCACTGTTTCCTCCGTTAATGGAGTAATCGTCTCTACTTTATTTTTATTCTTTTTTATTAAATTATTAATCTCTACGTCTCCTTTCTCTTGCTTTACGATAACCGATATCGCTTTACTTTTCGGAGATTTGTTTTTGGCATTACAGCTAATTTGATTCTCAGTGTTACTGCTATGAGATTCTATTAATTTATTAGTTAATATATTATTAATTCCATCTTTTTGTTTGGACGATGTATCCACAGCCGTTATCTGTTTTTTAGCTTCCACAACTTGCGGTTCGCATGAGATCACAGCATTGTTTGTCACACAATTCGATGTGTTTGTACAATAATTTTTACATGTCTCATTAAATTTATCACATAGGTCACTTTGGATTTGATTCTTAGAATTAGCCGCGGTGACAGCTTCTCTCATCTTCTCCAAATTACTTTTCCGACCCCTTTTGCGTCGTACAGGCACTTCCAGGTTTATATTAACATTTTCTGAAGACTTCGTATCCTTCAGAGATGTACGAACAATAATTTCTTGCGAAGTATCATCCACTTTTCTTTTCAACGACTTAGTAGTTTTTAAATTAACGTTTTTCTCATTATTAGTCGATAATGCTTCATTTGAGTTTTCATTATTCGGTTTCATTGTATCTTCGGTGTCAGCACAATTATTATCTGTTTGTAAACGAAGCCTTTTATTCTTACGAGAATACAAAACATTTGTATTTCGGTTCATTGGTGGGGCGGCATTTTCCTTATCTGATTCCAGCTCATCGTCCTCATTGATTCTTTTTTCTACTCCATTTTGACTCTAACAAAATAATTAGGAATTAGAATTATTGAAGTCATAGCTGCATGTTTGTAGGCGCAATATAAGCTTACAGCTTTAAGTAGATTTTGCTGGGTGAGATGGCATTGTTCGTAAAAATCGTCGAAAAATTCAAGCGTGGCACAACATCGCATACAAACTGTTTGTGGCAGCCCATCATTCTCTTTTATCTGAAACAAGAATAATTATTTCCATAACTGTTTATAAACAATCTATTTCTCTGAAAGCCTCAAAAGAAATTACTAATTCTTTTGCGACGCTATTAATGTTATATAACAAATATCAGAATTTCTGTTCGCGTACAATTACTACTCACTTGCTTATTTTATATATTAAAATGATAGAAAAATAAGCCAGTGAATAGAACTTTTGATGCGTGACAGAAATTGGGACATTTACCTTAATTAATGCAGGCTTTAAAACAAAAACACTTTTTACTGCAAGATTAAATACTGTAGGATTAGCATGAGAATAAAGTAAATATCAAATGATCAGAGGTCCCAAAAATATTGTAGCTTTATTGAAAAAAGTCGTGGAATCGTTAAACAAATGTAGGTTTTTCCTTCTTTATTGTCGAGAAATCAATATATATATAAAGTATCACTAATTGTTACTGACATACTAATTTCCTTACCAAAAATTATTACATACACAGGATACAATCGAAATGACAATACGTGGAGATATTTTTTTTTTAAATGAAAGAGAGACATGCAGAATAAGATAAATTTATTAGAAAATCAGTATACAGTCAATTATGTTGTCATTTCAGACGCATCCTGTCTGCACTTAATTTGCGAAGTACATATTATCTCCTAAATGAAAAACGCAAGAATGGTTTAACAAACGCCTCGTTATAAAATAAAAGAGTTATTGCTTATCACTTATACTATCTGAGGAAAGAGTGTAAATGTTAAGCATAATATCGTTCATACAATTTTATTAACAAGACGAATTGCAATCAACAGGCAATCTGCAGTCGTCATTCATAGATAATTCTTTGCACTCTTATTTTATATATTGGTTTATAAAAAAGTTTTTAACTAATATACAGAATTAAAGTAGAAATTGTACTACATACATTAAACATATTAACTAATTACTCACAAACGCTTGAATATTCAATATAATTCTTGAATTATATTAATTTTTGAGCACAAAGAATTACAGTAACTTTCTTCTTAACGAAGGTAAATGTTACATGCGATATATACTCGATGAATCATCGAATATATTTTTCATTCATCGTCAACGTCGCATAGTAGGAGAGTAGAATATGTATATTGAGTAATTCAAGGCACTTAGGTTACAGCTCTGTGTTTTTTTTTGTGAATCACATAGTTATGATCTTAATAGTACAATATCTAGATCATCAAACAAGATCTCTCGTTTATCGTGATCTTTTGTAAAGATTTTAGTTTCTTATTCGTTTTATATTCATCAACGTACATGTATAACTTTAGATGTAAAAATAGATTCGAAAATACAGTAAAATACAGTTCGAACATGTACGATTCAAAAGCTTTTCTCCTAAAAACAGCCATGTAAAAATACGTAGAAAATATTAGTTTCTTTTTGTTAAATACCCTTTTTAATAGAGGTCTTTGACTTTGGAAGCCCTGCCCATACTGTACTCACATTGTTTTTTCCTAAATTTATTTCTTAGGAAGCTAACTGTGCGATGAACAATTGTTTTTTGGCAATTTGTCCAATACTCTTTGGCTTCCTTTCTGATCTGTTTTGTAAAAAAAATTGTTTTGTCCTGTCATGTTCCATAATCTGTCTTTATTAAAGCTTTGGTAAATTTTAATTGATAATGTCCGAAAATATTTTCTAAACGAGTAAATGTAAAAGATTTGTATAGTCTCTTATATGCACAAGTCGTCCGTTATACACAAAAAATATGTAAACGTACCGGGAAAGAGCGACAAAAGAGGAAGTAACATGCTATCATTCATTGAACAACATACAGTGACCTTCATTAATATCCGGATACACTTTAAAAAATAATAACTTTTTTAATATTGGACAAATTAACTTCATCGTCCTTGGATATTTACTACCTAATGTGTAGTAAAAATTAAAGAAGAATTACTATTCGTCAGAATTTTTACGAGAAAAGGACTTTTAACTTTCTTATTAGGAACTCCAATAAAAATTTGAAACATCCCGTTTGTAGACTTACACGTAGACGTACAAATTTTTGTCAGATAGGAATAAAATAATTAAAAATTAT